ACTCATCAGAAACAGCTGCTCCCTCCCGGGCTGTTCCTTTCTGTTTCACACGGCAGAACGGCCAGTAGCTTATCTCTGCTGCCAAGGTCTGAATGTTTGTGTCCGTCCCCCCCAATTCCTATGTTGAAATCCTAACCCCGAAGGCGTGATATTAGGAGGCGGGGCCTTTTGGGGTGATTAGGTTATGAGTTTGGAGCGCTCATGAATGGGATTAATGTGTCATAAAGGAACCCCACCCCCAGAGAGAGCTCTCTCCCAACCCTGCCAGGTAGGTTCCAGCGGGAAGGTGCCACCACTGAGCCAGGAAATGAGCCCCACCAGACGCTGCAGCGGCCTTAGCACCTTGATCTTGGACCTCCCAGGCTCCAGAACGGGGAGAAATACATGCTTGTCTCTGAGCCATCCATTCTGTTAGAGCAGCCTGGATGGACTGAGACACTGGCTGGACTCTAAGGTCAGGGGCCAGGCCCCAGTGGGATCCCTACGAGACTGAACGCACGCTCCAAGAGGAGAGATGCTCCTATTCCTCTGTTGAACTGAGAGAAAAACAGGCCCCTGGTCCCAAAGGACCAGAGAAGGAAGGGTCAGAGGGTGCACGGAGTCGGGGTACAGCCCTGCCTCCACCTTCCCTGTCAACCAGAAGCTGCACTTTCAAGAAATCGTCGCTGGAACATGAAGGACGCTCTCAGGCTCCCAGCCCTGCCAACAGGCCAGAGAACTCTCTGTTCAATGAGAAATCCCTCTTGTTACTTCAATTTGTATGACATTTAAGTCTCATTTTATAAATGCTACCCAAGAATAGCTCTACTTAAAACTGCCCCAGTTACTCAAGATGAGAAATAAAAGGCACCAGGGAAGTCAGGTGCGGATGTAGGGAGAGGAAAACATGTGGAGTGTGCTATCCCAGCAGATCCCTGGGGCCTCCCCGGGGGCAGGTTCCTTAGCAAAGGGCTGCAGGGGATGGGGGAGGGCCTCCAAGAAGCCACCACACTCAGCTGATGAAAACTGCCTGGAGCTTTTTACAAAGATGGTGAAGAAGGTGCCAAAAGCTAAGGAGGAAGCCCCTATCTCTCCCAAAGCCAAAGCCAAACCAAAGGCTTTGAAGGCAAAGAAAGCAGTGCTGAAAGGCGCCCACAGCCACACAAAGAAGATCCGCACGTCACCCACCTTCTGACGGCCAAAGACACTGAGGCTCCGAAGGCAGCCAAATATCCTCAGAAAAGTGCACCCAGGAGAAACAAGCCTGCCCACTGTGCCACCATCAAATCCCCCGACAGAAGACAGCAATACACTGTGTTCCTTGTGGATGTCAAGGCCAACAAGCACCAGGTCAGACAGGATTTGAGGAAGCTCTATGACACTGAGGTGGCCAAGGTCAACACCCCATGAGGCCTGATGGAGAGAAGAAGGCATATGTTCAACTGGCTCCTGACTATAAAGCTTTGGGTGTTGCCAACAAAACTGGGATCATCTAAAATGAGTCCAGCTGCCTAATTCTAAATATAAAAA